CAAATGTGGCAGCTGCTGCTTGGTGTTAACATCAACTGAAGATGGCACAGACTGTAACATAAAGCTTATGTTTAAGTCTTTAATACGTTTTCAAACCCATGTCATCTACCTCAGAGAGTTCTTCTGCCAAAAACGCCAAGGACAGTTGCCATGGTTCCAACGCCTGTATCACAACGCAGCATCTTTTATTCTAAAAGAAATGCTTTTGCTATGAGTGGTCCTGGTTCCTGCAGTGGTTCACCTCAGTAGAAATGTGCATGCAGCTCTCAGCCAGTTGTCACAACCTATACCCGGCTGCGTCAGGATCTGTTCCTTGTTTACCGCCAGTCATCCAATCTGTTTTTTTCTCAGTGCATTAGAACTGAAACACAGCAAGCGGCTGACTACAAGACTTTCAGTCAAACACATAGAAAACACTGGCACCTCCAGCCACAGGACTGCGATTGTAATTCCATGCGTAGAGTGCGTTTCCTATGCTCATGTGGTTCTGTCTGAAGGCTTCAAACAAACCATCTATTTGCTGGAGCAATCAACTAGAAAGAATCAATTCCACCTGAGCTCACGACTACGTCTGACAGGGAATGGATGACACAACCACCGGATATTTGCTGGACCTTTTATTTTAAACGCTGCCTCTGAAAACAAACACTAATTGGTACCCAAGACGTGGATGTGTTTGCAAGAGCTATCACCTCAGTTCACAAATAACCGGTCTTTGACCATTTCACAGGGACGGATATTTAACCGACAAAGAGTTAGAGGGAAGGTAACATTCAACAGAGCAAACAAGAAGAAGTTTACAGGCTGTAACGACTATATTTAAATCTTACTGTTTGGGAAAGTTAATATTTGCTGACCAGATTAAACCAAAAGCTTGACGCCATCAGTTAGCACTGTAATATAACCCTGCAAGTCATACAGACACAAGCCACAGACATATGGGTAGCTATACATTTAACTCATGAACTTGTGTGTGTGTGTGTGTGTGTGTGTAAAAGCCAGAGTCGTCCTGTGACAAGAACTGATAACGTCCCTCCTAATCCACCCAGGCAGGAAATTATGTACGCGGTCAGAACGGTTGTTTTTGTGAAGCAAACCTGTCAGAGACCACTCACAAACCAAACCACAGCAAGAGCCACACCGTAAATCAGAGTCGTGATGTGACGACATCTAGTGGATGGATAAATAAGATCCCAAAGTCTTACATCAATAACATGAAAACATAAAGGGTAGGTTATTAATGAGCGGTTGGGGAAGACTTCAGCAGCAGAGAAGGAGATGTGATAAAGAACATGTCACAAAACCTTGAAACTGTAAGTTGAGAAGTTTTATTAACATAGTTCTCATTCTGTCATTTCTTTACAAACTGGCTTCTTTTCCATTTTTTGTTTCGCTTTCCCCAGCTCAGTTATTCCTGGAATTTCTAATTGAGAAGTAAAAACTGAGGGAAACAGGAAAAAGCACAGAGCATCCCCCAGAGAGAAGAATGTATTCAAGTCCCTACAGACTCATTTCTGTCATACAGGAGCATGATATGTTTACAAGCATCCTCCTCTCAGACCCACACCCACCAAACCACAAACTGTCTGTGTAAAAGTATCGAAACGTGCACATACACGCCTGTTTAAGTGTCTGTGTGTGTGTTTGGTCACTTACCACTGAGCCTGACACCACTTTGAGTTAAATGAAAGGCCTCAGCAGGGCTCTAATGCGTAGCCTCAACAAAGGCAAGTAATCAAATGCTTCTGTTACCGAGTCTGTTGGATCCCATGTGCCAGGTGTGTGTGTGTGTGTGTGTGTGTGTGTGTGTGTGTGTGTGTGTGTGTGTGTGTGNTGTGTGTGTGTGTGTGTGTGTGTGTGTGTCATGGTTAAACCTGCTCAAAGTTATGAAACACTTCCTCACTACCTCCTCTGCGGTAAACTTCCCTCCTGTGGGGCATTGATCGATGCAAAGAAGGATTAAACAGATTTAGGATCTGTGTGACTCGAGCTGTTGTCAGACATGAACTCTGGAAAAATTTGGGTCCAGACATTTTCCGACAGTTTGTCTTTCACATAAGAAGAAAGCAGCAGGAGATTTTCTGGAACAGACGGTTCATAAATACAAAGTGAGTCCCTTGCCTTCTCTGCAAATGGTTTTATAATGTCTGCACCTTTTCGCCATTTGCTCTTGAATCTCCTCGTATTTCCAAGTTGACATTTTAATCTGCATCTTCTATGCATCTTAATTAGTGGAATTTTATTCAGAGAGATGAAGAGAAACGCATCTCTGCATGATGCACAGGTTTTCTCTGCAGTGGTGTGACTGCAACACTCCATCGTTTTCTGTTTCATGTGAAACATCATTTCAAGGCTCTGGTCTAAATCTTTCTTTGCATTTCTTCTCTATATTCTTTCTGAAATAGTCGACGCTTGACCCCATCATTTCATTTCTCTGCCATGTTAGATTTTCCTCTTTTTCCACAGTTAAATTTCATTTCCTCCTTCTTCCTCTACCGGCACGTTACCCCTCCCCTACTCTCTCCCCCTCTCTGCCACTGTTGCCCTGCTCCAGTCCCTCCTTCATACGATCCTGTGTTCTTTGGCTAGCTTCATTAGTTGTAGCAATAAACACACATGGGCCACGGGATACCTCCAGAAAACTCCTCCACGCCATTACTGCAGAGTCAGGTTCACATGCTGCATACAGGAGGCCTCTGTGTACCATAAAGTATTATTGTGTATGTGTGCATTCCTCCATGTATGCATGTGTGTGTGTGTGCATATAATTTCAACGCACCCACCCAGGGCATGAAGAAAACAGCCATCTCACAATATATATAAAAAAAGAACTCATGTTTGTGCACAACATGCATGTATCACTACAATGACAACCCATGTGTCGGGCTGAAAACAACCTGTACTTCTTTCTGGTTCGACCTTAATGTTGTATACAATCAGCTTTGTTGTGTTGTCTTTATGCTGCTGTTTATAATCTTGTAAAAAATAGAAGGAATCACTATCGATATCCGTCTTCAGATATGAAAATGTGCAGAAAATTGGGTCCAGATATTGTCTGGAGTTTACCTTTGAGATATGAAGAACGCCACAGAGGACAGTCCAGGTCTCTCGTCCACATGTCCCTGCTGTATTCTCACATTTCTACACATTTTCCTCAGGGGGGTGGAAGGAGAAGTCCCAGAAAAATGTCTGACTCTGACATTTGAGTTCTTACAGGCAACCTCTCCAGAACATCTCAGGAAAATGTCTGGACTTTAGCGCATGTCTGAGAGAAGCTAAGGTGACTGCTTGTTTGTGATTGCTCAACTCACAGTTGTTTGTAACCTGACGTGTTCCCTTTTTTCCCCCCATAGTCTTTTCTATGAAGACAATTCGGCTAAAACTCTACGTTTTCACCTGGTGTGTTTTCAGAGTTTCTCTGTTGACCCGTCACAGAAGCAGCTCAGATGGTGTTTTGACAAGTGCTGGCAACTCCCCCGTTTTCAATAGGTTCATTATTAAAGCAGCTCCGCCTGGACTTAACTCGCCCCGTAGTTTCTATAACCACAAAAGACTCATAAAAAGATTTTGGCGAAGTCAGAAACCACACTGCCGCATGCACACGAGTATGTGTGTTTTTATTGTGTGAGAGTACAAGCCCCCCTCTCCTCTACATATATATATGAGGAACCTTGGACAGTACTTGGCTCTGTCATGGCTGGCAAGAAAAAACAACACAAATATATATCCATGCATATCATGGACACACAACTGTGCACTTGTTGGAAAGCTGTCATAAAATGTAATGTATGAAATAAATGTACCCTTCCTCTTTTAACACTGGTGGGGAACTGACTGGAAATAAAAGTAAAAAAGGACTTCTGAGATGTGATTTTGGTGAAATTACTTCTTTTAAAAAAGCAAATAAACTCTCTCTTTTGCTTGGAAACGGGATAATAACAAAGTAAAGCACTGGATCTCTCTCTCTCTCTCTCTCTCTCTCTCTCTCT